GGGGTGGGGGGTGTTCTCTTCTCATAAGCAATACAAGGGGGTCCCTTCTCTCATCCTTAGTGGATGGTGTGGCCTTTCTCCTTTAAATACAGATGTAAGGGAGGGCCCTTCCTATTAGTGAAAGGTTGGGCCCTCTCCTCTCACCATCATTGTATGGGGGACTTTTCTACTCTTGTCACCATTGAAAGGTTGAGCGCTCTCTGATTTCCACTGACCAGGAATGTAAAGTGGGAGTGTGATTTTCTGTTATTAGTTTTGTTTAGCCCTGGTTCACACACTTTCAAATTACACAAGTTCACTTAAAGTAGCGCGATTTCATGTGCCCCTTGCCTGACAATTGTGTGATTTCATGCACAGATGTCTTTGTAAGTTGCACATGAAATTGCCAAAAATAGCACAGGATCCTTTTTACAAAATTGGTGCTGCACTACAAAGTTAGAGTCCCACCGATTTGAACAGTTCCATAGGCACAATTAGGATGTGACTTGTCGTGCGATTTTTAACTGTCAAATCACATGGCAAATCGCATTGGTGTGAACAGGGGCTTAATATTTATTAGTTACAATTGTGTTGCTGTATGTAGCAGGGGGTGATAAAAATCCATTCTGGGTGCAAAATACACCACGTTCTTTACTCTTTTTTTTATTTTTATATCCACATCTTACCAATCATGCGAATACAAACATTTTTAGCAGCGGTTTCCTGGGACTTTACATTTTTTTCTAGTGTTCCAGCATAGTGAAAAAGGTTAAGAAAGGCATAGCCACAATGGCCATGGTCCTGGATAAATTGCTCTCCTAATAATTTTGAAATAAAAATCTATCTTTAGGCCTCATGCACAAAGGATGTTTTTACTGCCACATTTAGGGATGTTAGACTTTTTTTTTTCGTTTCCTGTTTCCAAACACCCCTCCATGGTATTCTGTATGTCCGTGCACATTATGGCTTTTAAAAGCTTTAAGTGGCAGGTGCATTTAGAAACAGAGAGAAAAAAACCCAGGGCCAGTGCATCCAGGAGCAGCAGAGTTTGGGCAAATAAAATGCTTGGCGCTTATAAACGTGACTAAATGCATGTTAACGATAGATGTGTTTAGCGCTTGAGCGTTAATTCATTTAAATGGCCAGAGTAATAATTTGTGGAATTAAAGCCCAAAACTATGACTTAACGGCCAAGCGTTTGATGCCTGTAAATACGCCTTACAAGCATCAGGCCGTTTTTCTGCTAAAAATGCTGCTGCCAAGAGGAAGGCTTCTAGGAACATTTTTTGTAATGTCCTGTGTGCATGAGGCTCTTTTTTATTTGTGAGGAAGGAAGGGTTTTTCTTAGACTGGTATGAGTCTAAGGGCCTGTGTTGACAGCCTTTGAGATTGTGTTGAAGGCATCACTTTGACATCAGTTTGAGACCCTTCTGAGAACATTCAGAATTCATTGACAGGTGCATTTGATCTACAGTTGAACTCTTCATGTAGGTTTTGCATTGCCATAGACTTTGGGAATGCATAACCTGAACAAAAGCCTGTTGACCCAGGCCCTAACATTACTAGAGAGAGAAACTATTTGCACACCGGATCTTGTTTTGACCAGAATTTTTAACCAGCAGGTCAGGGAAAAGTGAGCACCACACTTGCTTCCTCTCACTTTGTCGATAGTAAACCTAGGATTACACCAGAAACTGAAGCAATTTAGGGCAAACATTGCTTTCTTTTCTGCTACTGCAGGGAATCGTCGGGTGACTGTTAGGAGAATATTCTCAAGAGAATAACCCTATGGAGTGAATGATCTCCTGGTCCTATTCAAGAGTATGGAGAAGAGATCAATTGCTGATAGTTTCTGCTATGCAAGTAAAGGATAAGTTCACCTTTTGATAAAAAATAAAAATGCACATTTTTTGCAAGTAAAAAATGTGCATTTATTATTTTTTGCTACAGGAGCCTGCAAAGCATTGCACCTGTGATCAGCACATTGATGGCACCATGCAGATCTCCTGCAGACCTGTCAGTATATCTGCAAGTTAATACGGGATGTACAAGCAAACAGATATACTGAAAGGAAGATTCAATACCAAGGCACTCCACAGCTTCATTAAGAACTAAGGCTGTCAGGACTAGTAGTTTCTCATTCACAGAGGAGCGACACACACCGGGCGGGCAGAGCCCTGTTTTATTTAAAACTTGACGGCTAGTGGGGTGGAGAGGAGAAGATCCCCCGCTAGCTGTCAAAGCAGGGGATTGGCGGGTAGCGGGGCCGGTGCTCTCATAACATGTTACATGTTACACCCTGAAGATGGGTGTAACATGTTATGAAAGGTGAACTTATCCTTTAAATTGCAGCACTGTGTGATCATGAGTGACCAATCATGCTACTGCAAGGGTAGGTTTTGTCCAACTGCTAGAGTTGGACAATAAAAGAAACCCATCATGATATACAATACATATGTGGTCAGCTTTTGCTGCCATCTCTCTAAAAGTGCTGGTTGCCTGGCTATGAAATTCAACACTTTAAGTTAACGGCCCAGAAAAGGTACGCCAACAGAGAAGTCAAAACTGTTGGTCTGTTCTCTTGTTGCAGGCTTGAGACTCATAAATTAGACCCAGTTTAGGATGTGCATAACAGCTAGGCAACTAATACTTCTAGAAGAAGAGAAATGGTAACCTGCGTCTAAGACCAACATGTCCAGCACCAAATTAATCATTACTCTGATCCTGCAACTTGGAGAATTGAAGGTATATTGGGAACTCAAAGAAGCTTCAGTCATGTTGCATTACCTGGGATCCATCTGTCTTATCAGGCGCCTGTCATTTCAGGCTATAAGAAATGGTCAAGTACCATTCATACAGCTGACATTCGGCCTGAACTGCACAGGCTTTTGTTTTGTAAAACGTTAATAAAAACGCTAGTGAATTGATCACTAAACAGGCAGAACCAATACCCCTTGGTGTAATACTACTACACACATTTGCTCTGTTTAATGACCAGTCTTGTTTTTCAAACTTGGATTAAAACGTAGGCCTCCACTTGGTAGCTGTTGCCCAAAATTCCATTTTTCTTTAGAACCTCTAAGCCTTCTAATTTTAAGTTTCTGAACAAATGTTCTTGTTGTCATAGCAACAGATCAAGTTCTCCATTGAAAGGAAAGTTGTACCGAAAGAAATATGCTGGATTCCTCTTAAATGTCCCAGCTGCCTGCCTGGCTCTGTCTTCAATGCTCTCTAGGTCACTGCCTAAAGCAAGCATGAAGCAAGTGAAGTAAGATCTCCTGATCAGTAACTATTAAAAGGCACTGGATTAGAGTGATAGCCATTTAGCTTTTTTTTTATGAGAATTTGACAGTGTCAGCATTAATATTTATTTAATTCTACAAGTACAGTGTGTACAAATACTGGGGTGACAGAATTGGGTATCCTTTTGATAAATAAGTCCCAATACACTGTCTTCTGTGTGATCATTATATGCTGTACCTATAAATCAATATTCCTCTGTCATTCACTTTATGGAATCATATAACCAGGGGCGGACTGGCAACTCATGGGGCCCCCGGATAAGAGGGGATCATGGGGTCCCTGTGCCCTCGCCCACACTCAAACCACACCCAAAAAAGCCTATGAAAGGTACCAGGGGCATCTCATGGGGCCCCCTACTGACCCTGGGCCCTCGGGCAGTGCCCGAGCACCCGAATGGTCAGTCTGCCCCTGCATATAACCAACACATACAAATAGTGTATAGCCATATTAGAGTTGGATTTGAATCCCTGTCAAGTTGAATCCGCTGTTTGAAAAGAGAGTGGCCATGCAGGGCTCCATCCACACAGTTTCCGGTGAATGAATGCCTACAAGTTCCATAGGCATTGCTGCTGACGGCTCGTAGTTCTCAATGAACTACCAAGGCTCTGGTGAGTGCACAGGTAGTCCATTAATTCTTATTACTTCCAGGTAACTGCCTATCTGTATGAGGTATGGGTAGATAACTATGCTGAGAGTCTGCAGGAGCCTGAGATTTCACCTGCAATCTGCTGATTGTGGGTGCAATGCTTTACAGGCTCTTATTATAAAAATAAATAAATAAATGTACATTTTTTTTTTTTTTACCTGCAAAAAATAAAAGTGCATTTATTTATTCAAAGGTGAACGTATCCTTTAATTATATGTAAATCTGGGCCTACTGTTTTTCTTGCAAAGTTCCACAAATACCTGTTAATCACGCCAGTGGAGTCCACCTAATGCAGCTTTCTGTGATGGCATGACAATGATGCTGCACTGCTCCTGAATTCAGAGCATAGTTGCCACTCTCATGCAGGTTATGGCTGCTTGCACTGTAGTAGGAAGAAAAATTGTTGCATGGCTGTCCTCAATGCCACTGATTTTCTCAAGTCTATAGCGTGTCATCCGGCTGTACCTAGTCCTGCATTTGAATTGACATTATAGCTTCTGTTGCTAAAACCCTCCCACTGTGAGCTGCAGTGTCTGTGAGGAGGAGCAGATGTGACTCAAAAAAAGGAGAATTTTGTTCAGTTTAGGAAAGTTTTTTTTTTGTTCACTTGACATTTTGCATGACATAGAAAGCTTTGATTATACATACACTTAACCAATGAAACAGAAATGTTTAGACTACCTGGTCAGCTATACGTTTGATCTATTCTATTCATTTCTATAACATTCATTATCGAAGTAACTTTTAAGTTACAGAAGTTTGTTTTCTTCATATCAGGTAAAAAAACTACATATGGGTCATCTGCTTACAGCTCATGTTCGGGAGAGAAATGATATTGTGAAATTGCATCTAGCTACTGTCATGGCCAAGGACAAAATGGACTGTGTTTTTACTTTAAATGGACCTGTAACAAAATGAGTAGTGTGATAAGCATGTACGTGTATCACGGGGAAAAGTGGATGAAGTTAGTCTTAGTTAAAGGTTTGTTTTTTTTGTGGCACTGCTAAGCATGTGCCTAGTTCCTCTACTGTCAAATCAGCCACATAAAGGTCAGTTACTGTGGCAGTAGCTATTAAATTTCAGTAAGAACAATTTCTGACTTTTGCCTTGTTTCAGGCGTTGGCTGTTTGGGAGCTAATTCTGGGTAAACCAGAAAACCAGTGAATGTAATGTACTTTCCATGGTTGCTGTAGGCGCCATACCCTTCATGCCTGTGGCTGTAAAGCCACACTGTGTCTCCAGACTGTAGAGACAACATGATGCTTTGGCTTTGCATCTCTCGCTTTTTTGAGTGACTGTCATCATAAATCATTGCCTGAACCTCATTCTGGTTTTTCATCAACTTGACGGACATGGTTTTGTAGGGCATTTTTCCTATGGTGAAAGAGAAATAATAGGCCCCCGCCACACGGCACCAAAATTCCCCAGAAGACAAATTGAAATCACTTCCAATGTTGACAAACTCTGTGTCAAAAGTGATTGGCAGATGCTGTGTCTTTTCTTCATCAGATCCAATGAGGCTTTTGGTACGGGCAACTGAAAAGGCCGACCGAGGATCTCTGTTTACTGTAGGTTGGTCAGCTGCCATTGCATTCTTGTTGTAGACTTCATTGTGCTCTGAGGAAGTCTCTCGAGATGTCACCATGTTTTGTGAATCTTGCAGCCTGTAGTTGTCACTACCGCTCTGGAAATAATAAGATGTATCTGGGTAGATTAAATAGCCGTTGAAGGTTGTATAAGGCCCGACATTGCTGTAAAGGGCATATTTTGGATCTCCATGCAGCCGAAGCCAAACCGTGTCTCCATAATCCAACTGTAACATTGCACTTTGACTGGCAACTTTGCGCTCTTTGTGGTGATGTTCATCATAAGCAATAACCTGGACCTCATTCTTGTTCTTCATCAACATTACTGACAGGTTCTTCTTGGGGAACTTCCCAACAGTGAAGGAGAAGTAGTAAGCCCCAGGAATGCGGCATCGGAAAATGCCAGCCTTTGGGTCAAAGTCCCCCCCAATGTTTACATAAACCTTGTCGAAGGTGATGACCATTTCAGGGCCCCCTTCCATGCTGCTTGTACGGGCAACAGAGAAAGCTGAGCGGAAATCGGTTCCCAGGGCCAAAGGAGAGAGGAGAAGTAGCTGAGCCATCAGACCGAAGTAAGTGCCAAAGGAAAGCATTCTGCCTAAGGGAAAGAAACAAACATAAAAAAGTCACATTTTCTATGCACAAAAATAAAGTGACTACAACCCAATTTGAGTTGTCAGAAAAGCTACTATATCTGCTGCAGGAATTAATTTTGCTTAAAGTGTTACTAAACCCACAGCAGTAAATTCAGTCTGTATAGGCAGGAAAGCATGGTTGTTATACTCACTGTGGAACCTAAGGGGTTAATCCTCCGCATTGTGTAAAAAGGCTGTTTGATCCTGTCTTCTCTGATCCTCCCCTTCTTTTATTGTCCCCAGTCCATCTGCCATAGTACAGAGCAGCAGTGGCAAGTCTTCACATGCTCAGTTTGTGTATTGCTAGAGAGTTTTTATTTGGAGGGAGAGTGCATGTGAACAGCACAGGGCCAATCAGTGCTGTCTGGACAAACGGTCAGGGGTCATGCAGCCTCATAGGACAGTCAGAGGAGAATGAAAACTCATCCTACACGAGTATCCAGTGCTCAGCCCAACACTGATAGAAGTCAAAAGACTGCTATATACTGCTGATGACAAAAGGTGTTTAGCAGTTTATATTACTAAAATAATTTCATTTCCATGTTCTGTGTACTGTGGGAGACCAGATATAGTGAATGCAGGGTCCTGGGAGACCAGATATAGTGAATGCAGGGTCCTGGGAAACCAGATCTAGTGAATGCAGGGTCCTGGGAGACCGATATAGTAAATGCAGGGTCCTGGGAGACCGGATATAGTGAATGCATGGTCTGGGGAGACCAGATATAGTGAATGCAGGTCTGGGGAGACCAGATATAGTGAATGCAGGGTCCTGGGAGACCAGATATAGTGAATGCAGGGTCCGGGGAGACCAGATATAGTGAATGCAGGGTCCTGGGAGACCAGATATAGTGAATGCAGGGTACGGGGAGACCATATATAGTGAATGGAGGGTCCTGGGTTTAGTAACACCTTAAGGATGATATATAATAACATTCAGGGAAAATTAATGAATGAACCCTAACATCCATCAAACAGAACTCCAACCAAAAATAAGATAAAAATGAATAACCCATTAAAATATATATTTAAAAAAGAAGATTTGCTGCAATATTTATCTTCAATCAAGAGATTTCCCATACAGTACTTTTTTCTGCCACTACATGTCTTCAGTCTGATGACCAGCATAATTTAACTCACTTCCTCTGAGCCCCGGGCACCCTTGACCTGTCCCTTCATGTGACTGGACAGGGAAAGGAGAAGCTACAATGATGAGCTCATCTCTCCTACTTGGATTTCTCCTCCTATCAGTATGTTCTTATCAGCATATGAACCGATTGGCTCCTTGAACTGCTTCTTCCTTTCATGCTCCAAGTACAGGGACTGCAAGAAGCTGATGCAAAGTGCATATGCAGGTGATTACACCGCTTGCATTTAAAGAAAATATTTTGAATGCATTTATGGTTACAGGGTTTGTTTGTGTCTTTTATATCTTCTCAGTGTTCAGCTTTAACAATTAATTCTTTAGGTTTATTTTTTCTGTTAACGAGAGGCAGCAAATACTGAGGAAAATACATAACAAATGGTGACAGATTTGCTTGGATAATATCTTCAGGTTACACTGATGAGAACCATTCGCAAAGCCACAACTAAGCTGATGCCTGAATATTCAATCTTAGGTTATTATATCTGTGGAAGGCCATTTTTTGCTATACAGCACTGCACTACTTTTACCGGTAACTGTGCAGTCAGGCAATGCTGTACCCAAATTAAATTTGTGCAGAGTTGTGGCACTTCCCTGCTGAGTCAGAACTTTCCAATCACTAGGGAGCATGAGCTTTACTGATTGCAGAACTATAGGGCTGACCCAGCAGGGTACATGCCAGATCTCTGCAGAGACACCACTGCTTTCCACACACAGAAAAAGTGTCCTTCTCCAAAGCATGCTGGCAGGAGACAGGCTTTTGTACTTAAATTGTGGCTGCTTTCTTTGGCTCTTTCAACAGGTGCATTAGGTTTTCAAACACATCTGCATAGAATCGCTTTTGAGAGATGGTTTAGAGCGGGTTGACAAATGTATAGGAGGTGATATGCCAGCTTCTGAACACCCATTTTTTTGACCCCAAAGAGGGTTTTACATACAAATTCTGCTAGACCTCGCCACAACTGTGTGCCTTAGATAGGTTTGCAGAGCTGTTCCATTGACTTTAATGGTTTGCAGGTTGCAACCCATTGCCAATTGTGACATGCTGTATAAAATTTGCCATGCTTCTGTAATGTATACAAACATGTTGGCTAGCTATATTAACTAGCCAGTAGGCAGTAAAATCACCTGTTTACTGCCCATCCACTGCAGGTGTGAACAAAACCTAAAAAAAAAAATGAACTGTAAATCTTTGCATATTTTTTGTTCTGATGCCCCTGAATTGTATGTAGCTGATTTAGTTTTTAATGCTTAGCACTATATCCAACCTTGCCCATACACACGAGTGTCATGTCACTTGAAGTTTGTTGCTTGAAAAAATACATGAGCTTCTTTAGGGCAGTCGTGCGTTTTTGGACCTTATAAACCTCCTGAAAAAAAAATGTGCAAAGTGCATTTTGTTACCTCTTTTCTTCTAGCAACAAGCTTTTCATTGGCTCAAGCCTGCAAAACACTTAAAAACTGCTCCATGCTTGTTTATGGACCTGCCTAGGGGGGGGGAATAATACCTAGCTGTCATCCTGCTCAGCTGACCACTCCGCTCTGCCTGGGGACCTGAGCCCTCTTTGCCCATGCCGCCCCAGAAGACACCGGCAAAGAAATACCCCTGTACTTGGGTTCGGAGCTCCCCTCCTACTACACGTGACAAGGCCATCTCGCCTACACATGTGACGGCCGGACACTCAGTGGCGGTGCAGACTGCCTGTAGGGACATAATGGACGGAGATGCTGAGCCAAGGAATGTGTCCCGCTCTCCTGTTGAGGCCCTACCTGGGGATTCTGCTGCATCTACTATCCTGGCAGCCATAGAGGCAAATAAATTGTCCCTCATGTTCAAGATAGACTCTTTGGCATTAGATGTGGGCTTATCAGAAAAGACCTGGACAAGATTGGGGGCCGCCTGGGCACCGTGCACACCTGCATTTCTGAGGTTGAAGATACCACATCCTCTCAATCCCGCACCCTGTCCGACTTACAGCATACCCCTTACTCTGTGTGTGCGACATTAACTCCTGAGTTTGGTGGATGACTTGGCCCCCACTAAGGCCATTCATTCTTTTCTCACTCTCCTTTTCTGTTATGTACGTAAACTCATTGTACTGTCCTGGAAGAAACCCAAGGCTCCAACTGTTGCAGCTTGGAAAGCTCTTATACATAAGACCCTCTTGTTATATAAGGCCACTTATGCTAATAGAGGGGTACCCCGTAAACTTGATAAAGTCTGGGGCGGCTGGGTTGCTTCCCCGCTTTCAGTGGCAGATTGGAGCACTGCACTTTGGTTCACATAAAAATTATATTGGATTGTTCATGTACATTGATTAGCGGTCTTGTTGGCCAGTAAATTCCTGTTCCTAGACTATGTGACAGCAATTCCTTTACCTATTGAAATGGCATGGAGAGAGTGTCTTTGTAACCTGTAGAATGGATGTGTTTTTGGGTAGGGGGGTGTCTTATTTCTCCTGAATGTCTATGTATACTGACGTTCACTGTACAACACGGGCATGTTTCTCCTCTCTTTTGTATTTCGTATTTATTATTTTTATTGTGTAATTGGATGACTACCAGGATTGTTGGCCGTGCCCATAGCTTGTTTTTTTGTTAATTTGTATGTTTTCTGAAAAATTTCTAATAATTAGAATTTTACAAGAAAAAAAAAATGCTTGAAGAAATTCAAATGTAAATCTAGCCTAAGTCCAGGTTCACACCTTAGCGTTTTCCGCATCATTTTGCAGAAACGCACTACAGTCCATTTAACATGATTTCCTATGGGATACCTTCACATCTCCGCATTTTCACCCGATGCGTTTTTTGTGGTCAGGGACTCTTTTAAACACAAAAAGTTTCGTTTTTGGTTCTATAGACTTCAATGGAGATGCTGCAGGAAAGCATGTAGTGTGTTTTTTGCTGTGTTTTAATCTGCCTAGCAACAAGAAAAAAAAAAGCGGCGAAAAAGCATGTGCAAAAAACGCAAAACGCATCGCAAAAAGCACTGCAGAAACGGATCAAACACAAATTGCATAGGTGTGAACCTAGCCTTAGGGCTGCTTACACTGCCCTGTTGCTCTTTGGCTAAGCACAGCTAAGCCGCTGCTCGCCCACACAATGCAGGCAAGTGGTCAGCAAGTAGTTAAAAAGAAAAAAACCCTTAAACTTTTTTTTTCTTTTATTAATACTGTATTTTTTTATTTTATTTATATTATTTTTTTTTACTTTTTTTTCCTTAAATACTTTTATCAGAGTAGTACACTGTTACCATAGTAACAGTGTACTACTCTGGGGGGGGTTTGATCAGAGATTTTATATTTATTTATTACACTTTGCTTAAGTTTGCTTGAGTTAAGTTCATGACAGTTTAAAATAATAGTGATCTATGATTGGCTGGTGCTGGTCACATTGTATAGGGCGCTGTGATTGGCCTCATGTATCATGTGAGAGCTTTGGGCCAATTAGCTCACCAAGAAGAGAAGCACAGCTGTTATGTATCAGATTGATTCATAACAGCTTTGCTAACATTGTGATCATGTGACCACATAGCGATCACATGATCATTGGATCCCATTCATCGGGATCTTCATTCACCAGACACAGTGGTTGTGGGTGGGGAGTGCTGCGCCCCCCTGTGTTAGTACAGCCAGAGTGACGTCACATACCCATACTTCGTTTTGCCTGTAGCTGCCGCCCGTCCGCAGTACATTGCAGGTGGGTG